TACAGCTGGCTGCAGACAGTTCAACGTGAAGAGGCCTTTGGATAGTGACAGGTGTGTTGCTGTTATTCTTTCATTCCCCTCCTACCTTGTTTCACAGCCAACTGCTTTTAATGTGAACAGAGAAAGGTTAAGCAAAAAACTCCTTCTATATGAGTTGGGTTGACTGATCACAGGCTGCTTAATAAAAGTAATTAGGACTTTTAGTGACCACATATTCTTCATGCCAATCGCTCCTTAACATGGCTTTCTAAAGGGGTACCCATCATCACTGTAACTGAATCCCTTCATCTTACTGCTAGTTCCCCTCTTCTTCTCTTTCCTTCGACCTTTCTCAGCATTAGAGCCTTCTCCAGAGAGCTGGGTCTTCATATAATGTGTCCAAAGTATAATAATTTGAGCCTGGTCATAGTCCTATGGCCAGCATTTTTTTTAAAATCCTTTCTATGATTATTTTCTTCCTGGCTTGAATGAATACGAGGTGCTTTCTCTCTCCCTTTCCTTCCCTCTCCGTTCCAGAGCCACCAATTACATACATACTTATATCACACTAATCCTAACCCTAACTGAACAGTCTAAATTCTAAGAATGAAATCCCAGATTCTTTTTATTTAATTTAATCCCCAGTTACTCTAGTAGAATTGTTTCAAAATTTAGACCCCCGGCCCCACCATGGAAGATGGGAAGCAAAACTTACCCTCCTCAATATTGACTGCTTGCTCTGTTGCAACTTTTAACCAATCATACAATTGTCCTTTTCATGCCTTTCAGAGGTGGTATTCAGCAGGTTCTGACCAGTTCTGGAGAACCGGTTGTGGAAATTTTGAGTAGTTTGGAATACCATCTCTGACTGGCCCTGCCCGCATTGATTCTCTGCCGCTTGAGTCCCAGCTGATTGGCTGGGACTTTTTTTGTTGCCCTGCATAGGAGAATGGAGCTGGAAAGCAGGTTAGTGGGGTGGGGTGGGGTGGGAATTTTACAGTAGCCTTCTCCTGCCATGCCCACCAAGCCACACCACGCCCACCAAGCCACGCCCACAGAACTGGTAGTGAAAATTTTTGAATCCACCCCCCCTCCCCCAAATTTAGGGACTGTTACATAAAAAAGACAAGCAGCGTCTTACAATATTGGCTCTCTGGGTTAGGAAACAGAGATGAGCACTGCCCCCAAGAGTCAGAAATGACTGGGTAAGAGAAAACTTTACCTTTCAAAAAACATTGTTAATTCCAGTGCTACCACACGGAAAAGATCTGCTTGGAGCTGCAGTTCTGTTCTCTCATTGTTTTTGGTATGGCGCTTTCAGATGAACATTTGGCAGGCAGTTGGGGGAGTGGAAATGATGATTCACCCCCATCCCAGTTTTGATCCTTCTTTCCTCTTCCTTATTTCTATAATAGTATTAACTAGCCTTGGATCTTAATATAAAAATAAGCAATTATTGCAACTGCTGTTGCAGTACATCTCCCAGATCTGCTTCTGAAGCACAAGATGATGCCTGATGTTTACTTAATCCTTTCTAAATTAATTTATCAATAGTTCAAAGGTTGGTTTTGTTTACAGAAGTGTTCTGAGTGAGATTAAAAAGTAAGGATTTAGCTCCCTCTGCTGTCTGCCTCCTATCATTACTGAGCAGGTGCTATCTTAATAGTCTGGAGTGACTACTTTTTGTTATCAATTGTAAGGGTTTTCACTTGTACAGTTTGAAAGGATGTCCTCTACATAAAGGGCAAATCTGAAAATGTGAAAAACTCTGTCATTAAGTACTTTGTTACAGTGAGATAAAACAATGAGGATGCCAATTCCTGAGAATATTCAGAAGCATTGCTTGCTTCTTTCCTTCCCTACCAATTAGCTGCTGAAGACCCAATTCACTTTCCCTAGTTAGTTAGCAATTTATTACCAGAGTATAATTGTATTGATTTTTGGTGTTTTACATGAATACCTCTGTAAAAATCCTTTCGAGCCACAAACAAGCCAACTTGAATTTAAACTGAAATTCCTGGATAGAATTTTGCTAGCTTCTTCTGGTCTGGGTCAAATTTCAAGAAGTGGGTTGCAGAATAATTTCTATAATTGCCAATGCCAAGAGGTTGGACTTCTTTTCTACAGACTTGGGGATGGAGAAAGAAGAAAATAGGATATCTACTTTAAAATCTCCCATTGCAACAGGAGTGTATGAATGCCAACCTATGATGGAACTAAGCAACCTGCCTCAAGTCAGCATATTCATAGCAGACAAAATAGTAAGTCTGGAATATATCTTACTAACAAGGCTAAATATATTGAATTTTGTTTCCCAAAAACGTTAGCAATCACTTTCATATTGATTTAGACTTGAAGTGTCCCATAGAGTACAAAATCAGTCAAAACAAACTTCTTGCACTTGGTTATCAATCCTAGCTACCATATAAAGTCGAAAAATATGCATTGAATGACTTCAAATGAAAACAATTTACATTCTCAAGGAGCACCATGCAGCATTAAAAAATAATGGCGTAGGAGCTTATGCATATTGAAGTAATAGTTCAGGTTACGTACTACCTACCAAAACCTTTGCTAGACCAATACTTGAATACAGCTCATCTGTCTGGAATTCGCACTGTATATCAGATATTAATACTATTGAGCGAATCCAGAAGTATTTCACAAGAAAAGTATTACACTCCTCTGCTTGCAACAGAATACCCTATATCACCAGGCTTGAAATTTTGGGCTTGGACAATCTTGAACTACGCTGCCTACGGTTGCACTTAAGCGTAGTATACAAAATTATCTGCTACAACGTCCTACCAGTCAATGACTACTTTAGCTTCAACTGCAACAATACAAGAGCACACAACAGATACAAACTCGATGTTAACCGCACCAAACTTGATTGCAGAAAGTACGACTTCAACAACAGAGTGGTCAATGCCTGGAATGCACTACCTGCCTCTGTTGTTACATCCTCTAACCCCACTCCTTTAATCTCAAACTATCCACTATTGACCTCACCCCATTCCTAAGAGGTCTGTAAGGGGCGTGCATAAGTGCACTATCGTAACTCCCGTCCCTGTCCTATTGTCCCCATTTAATCGTACCTATTTTCTGTATTCTTAGTCATGTTTATACTTATACCTATTATTTTGTAAGTGATTGACAAATCAAATCAAATCAAATAAATAAACAAACAAACATAATAATACTGGTACCTTTCATGAACCATTATTCCACTGGTTAATTGTCCGCTGTTAGAAAGTTTCTCCTTAATTCCAGGTAGCTTCTCTCTTTCATTAGTTTCCAACTATTGTTTCTTGTCCTTCCCTTCAGTGCTTTGGAGAATAATTTGTCCCCCTCTTCTTTGTGCAGCCCCTCAAGTACTGGAATACTGTTATCATGTCACCCCTAATTCTTCTTTTATTTAGACTAGCCGCACTCAAATCCTGCAGTCGTTCTTCATGTGTTTTAGTCTCCAGGCCTTTGATCATCTTAGTTGCTCTTCTCTGAACTTTTTCCAAAGTCTCAACATCTTTTTTGTAGTATGCTTTTGTACTATTAAAAATGGAAATAAGTAATGGCTGTACAAAAGAGTAGTTCTTATGAGGGAGAGCAGCTAACAAACTACCTTCCTCTTTGAAAAACAGGGATGCAAGGAAAAGGATCTGGGAACGCATGGCGATATAGGAGTTCTTGCAGATGGGGAAACAATCTACAAACGCCAAAGAGCACTAACATTAAACAAAACACTAGGGGTTTTTTGGTGGGCGTTCCAAAACATAAGCCCTGAGCTGGAAATAAATTAGCTTATTTCTCAGTCAGCCAATGCTGGAGGATCCCAAAACTCCAGACTTCTTTCAAATTGGTGCATAGTTTTCTTGTGAAAATGCCCAAATATTATTACATAAAGTGCTCCAAGTGAAAATAATTTATTGAATATTATTTTAGCAGTCTATCAATATTATGTGTCAAGGGGTCATTTTCAATTACATCTTCAATGCAGAGGTGTCTTTTCTCCATGAATTTTCAGTCATTTTATATAAATAAAAACAGAAATGTTATATGTTATACTTATACAATATTTTGACTAAAAGTACTTATATATTTAAATGTGCCAGACAATTAAATAGCTTCCGCATTTCTTTAAACACAGTGAGGTCTCTTCTTTGTGTAGTCAAAAAAAAACCCCAGGCACATCCAGCACTAGTGCATTAGAATTATTACTACAGGGACGATATCTTATTGGAAAAAATAAAGGGCAAACCTGAAAAAGGGGCAAATCTGAGATAAGTTCACAAAGATAAAAAATATATACATATAACTATTATTCAATACAGTACTGTACTGCATTTCAAACTTGGCAACTTTTGTGGACTACAACTTCCACAAGTCTTGCTGCTGACTGGGGAATACTGGGACTTGTAGTTTACATCTTAAAGTTGCTAAGGTTCAGAAGCCTTGTAATATTGTCAATAGGAAGGCTAAGGATGGCTGCATAAGGCATATGTGTGTGTGTGTATGTATATATGTGTATACACAAACACACATATCTTCATGTCTTAATCTTCTCTACGTACAAGTTCACGTGATCATTGATTAAAGAACCTGGATCTTTTACCTACTCCAGGTTCTGTGTTTCTGGCTTTATTGAACTGACTCCTATAAGTAAATGAGGAAATTCGTCGATCATCCCGGCCCTTTGGACCAAAACAGAAATCGGAGGGAGAACTATTGGCTCTCCATAATTCAACCTCTTGTCACCAAACCACCCGTCGGCCTGGGGAAAGGGGAGGAAGAGGCATCCTAAAGGGGCGACGGAGCAAGTAGCAGCGGTAGCAACTCTTGTGAATCGCAACGTTCGGCGTTCTAGGCGCCTCCGGTGAATCCCCGACCATCCAAGAGGCGGAGCAGGATACACTGCCGCGGAAAATGGAGGCTCGCAGTGGCGGCAGGGAAGCCTCGCGAGAAAGGGCGGTTTTTGGGGGGCTGCGGCTCCTCCTCCTCTGGCAGCGAATGGGCGGCTGAGCCAGGCCTGAATAGCGCGAGAAACCGCCGGCAGTGTGTGCTGAGCGGGGCAAGTGACTCGGCCCGCTGCGGGGAAGTCGCGCCTGCCTGCCTGCCTGCCTGCCTGCGGCCGCCGCACCACCCGTCAAGATGTCCGGCGGGCGGGTGTGCGCTGCCTGCGGCGGCTCCGACATCGAAGTGGACTCAGCCCGGGGCGATGCCGTCTGCACCGGATGCGGTTCGGTGCTGGAAGACAACATCATCGTCTCCGAGGTGCAGTTCGTGGAGAACAGCGGCGGAGGCTCTTCGGCAGTCGGGCAGTTTGTCTCCCTCGACGGTGCGTGTGTGTGTAGCGGAAATCGGGGCCGGGCTTGGCGAGGGGGGGGGGCAGCCGAAGGAGGAGTAGCCCGATGCTGCCTCTGCTACGGCCGGCCGTGACGTTGCTCCCGAGAGCAGTGAATTACACGTGGGTGCCGTGGGAGAATCACAACTCATCAGCTTCCTCCTCCTGTGCCGCGTACAGAATTTGCTTAGTTTCAAAGCAGAGCAGAGCAGTGACAAAATCGCCTATGATACCGTAAAAAGACAATTTATGTGCTGCTGATGGGGACAGCTCTCATACCAAGAGAGCTTCTGCAGCCATTTACATGTGATAAAGTACATTTGTCTCCACTTTAACTCTCTGGCCTCAGTATTTGCAGCCGATCAGTCCTTTTGACAACTTTTTTATTTGAATTCTTTCTCTGGCTTCTTATACCAAATCTGGGGAAGGGGCTATTTTGTAGATTCCGAAGAAAGTTAAGCCCTGCTTCAGAAAGGAGTGGGAGGGAAATATTTATTTTCAGATGCCCACCTGTGCTGTTGTACAGGGAAAATAGATTTTTCTAATAAGTTGGGTATATCTGTCCTTTGAGATCTGCCCCTTTCCTAATCTTTGTCATAATAACTTCTTGTCCCATTTGCCTTTCATTCATTCCTTTCTCTACCTACTAGTAGATTTTGGAAGAATGACTTTAGTGTAGGAGCCTGTAAGATGTGTAGTTTGTGACATTACCTTAGCAGAGAAATAAAATATGGCTATAGCTTATCTACAAATAGTTGATATGCATTTGATTTTTTACTCTTATTGGATCACCTGGAAACATGAATACAGCAGCTGAAGTTGTATGGCAGAGAGTAGTTACTTTGGTACTGAACTTTTTTTTTCCCAGTTTCACATCATGTTGTGTATCTAGAACTTTAATTAACAACTTTAGTGAGTTAAGTCCATGGAGAGAGAAATACCTATTGGGTCTAAGCTACAGTTTTAGACAAATGGAGCATTGTAAATCTCAGGTATTGTTATGTAAATATCTCTGGTATCCTAGTTTGGATCTAATTCTGAATATGGAAGGAATCATTGAGAGTTTTGGAACAGAGATATCAATAGACTGATAAGTCTCAGCTATATTTCTCTGGCACATCTGAATCAGGAGGTTTTGCTGACCCTTGAACTAGTAACTTGATGCAGAAGTGAGCTGCATCTGGAAAGACAAGGATCCCACAAGTAAGGGGATTTCTGGGTTCATGAAATAAGCTGCTTGCTCTGACAGAATTGCATTTCTCTGAAAAAGAAGTTTGTGTCATCAGAGGTCCAAGTGTCAACAGCAAGGAGAGGCGATACCTTAAATAATAAAATAAATGCACTGGCTGTTAATTTGCTTCTAGATAACATCTAAGATTTTGATACTAACTTGTAGACAACTTGGAACCACTTTGAGAGAATATTTCTATTATACAGAAATGCTCAACAAATGCATTCACTGTCAGAGGCTGCCTTGAGCATGTAGTAGAAACTCATTTGAATTCAGCTGGGAAACCTTTTCTATTATACCAGTTTTGGAGTGCTTAACCACTAGATGATGGTGTGATTAAATTGCTTATAATTATTACATTATTCTTATGAGTTTTCTTGTATTTTGTCTGATTGGTAGTATATGTTTTAAAGTCTGCACACTAGTTTTGAAAGAGTGGCAAATTGATGTGTATTCAAATACTTTGAATAAAACAAAAGGGAGAGATACTAAATACAAAGCAAAGTTATGGAGAGGGAAAGGATCTTCCTTTTTTCAGTGCATTGTATATCTTTGGTGAAAGCTGCATTTCTTTCAGCATCCATGAAGTATATACAGGATTTGCCAAAAGTCAGGCCCCATACACAAATATTTAGATTGCATTGACTGTTCAAACCAGTTGCCATTTTCTTCTAAACACTTCTCCAATCATTTAATCTTTGAACATTCCTAGGTTCAGACAAACTCTTTGTCTGAAAAAAAAAGTTAATGAAACATTATAATTGGCCTACAAGTAGTCTTTGAGTTACAACTGTAATGGAGCTGTTCATTTTATGTTTTTATGGTGGTTCTTAAATAAATGTAGAGGTAAGTGCGAACATCATGATTGTTAACCAAGTTGTTAAGAAACAGGGATGGGGCAATGAGTGTGGCCTCTTCAGTGTGGTAATTGAAGTTTGTAGATAATTTAAATTCAGTAGTGAAGGGAAATAATTCTGTTAATTGGATTCTTGATTTGGTACAAAACATTCCTAGTTAATGCTAGCTTAAATACAATTGCTTGGTAGAGATGAATGATTTTAATTGAAAGATGCAACAATTATCATCTTGGTAAAGGAAAAAAGTGTAAAGCCATGTTGAGCTGATATGAAAAATTATTAAATGTGCATTTTCCACATCCCTTTTTCTCCTGTCTCCCGATTCTCAAGGTGCATCATTTAATAGTATTATTTGGTGCTGGATGGGAATGTTCTGATTTGTGGTTCCTCGAGTGAAGATCTTTCTCATAGCAAGATACAAAATTATAGGTGTTCCCACTTATATGGACGTGTGCTGGTTCTGATTTGGTTGCCTTGCACCTTTTCCATGGATAACCAGAACTGGCTTATTACTTGCAGCTGCTTCCATTTAGAATTACTTACATTTATTTTACCAGTTCTGGCTTTTTCTTTGCTATGACAAAGGCAAGCAGTATAATTTTAGAGAAGGGAAATAATTTTGTTTTGTTTTTTGCCTCCCCAAAGTCCTCCCTATATAGCAGTGTTTCTCAACCTTGGCAACTCTAAGAAGTGTGGATTTCAACTCCCCGAATTCCCTAGCTAGCAGCTGGCAGAGGTGTTCTGGGAGTTGAAGTCCATATGTCTTAGAGTTGCCATGGTTTAGAAACACTGCTGTATGAAGTGTGCTCAGAGAAGTAGTTGATATTTGCTTGGATTAGATTCAGCTCTCCATCTATTGCATATTTAGAATAACTTATTGAAAAAGAAATAATCTTTCCCATATGATATTGTATTTCAGAGTTCCAAGCAGACTTCCATAAGTTAGCACTGTTTATGTATTTATATATTTATGGGTGGGTGTAAGGGACAAAACCCTGAACAATTGTTTATAAATCAATCTATATAGTTCTCATAGTTAAATCTAATTTATTTTAATTTCCTACTGCTTGGTAAATGCTAAAACTATTTTTATGTCTTTTCCAAGTATTTGAGTGTTCCATTTCAAAACATGTAGTACATAAATAAATCATAACAATCTATCATTATTAAGATAAAGATATTTTCCAGATGGACTTAACATAGTGATTACATCTAGTTCTCCTATGAGCTGCTCAGAGCATCCAGTAGTGGGAGGTGCTTCAGTCTCTGAATTCATAGGCTGAGCTTGAATTGAGGAACGCTCCTCCTCCTCCACGTGACTCCTCCACAGCATTCCCCAGTTTTTGCTCAGCCTCGTGTGAGACAGGCAGTGCCTTGCTTAGCTCCTTGGCTGAAGCAGGAATTTCGATTCACACAAATAGAGTTCTCAACAGGTTTGATTTATTCCCCTTCTCTTTAGCCTCTGCACAATTGCTTCATTGGGCATTCTATCCACCAAGGGGAAGTGCAGTTACGCCCCCAAGGGAGGCGAAAGGGAGGGTCAGTAGCGGCTTCGCCCTACCTCCTACAGCCAAAAAATACCCTACTCTGCCTCTTTCTCTTGCCGCTCCGTTTCGTTTCACCTCGTTGTTTAGCGGCTTGTATTGCTCCGTTTCTGAGTCATATTGTTGATTCCCACCCACCTTTGAACACCGTTTTTTCAAGCAGAGAAGGCCTAATTTCTCCCTTCCTTAGCCGCCTCTGTAATCAGAGCCTTGGCTTTGCTTTCTTTGGTGGGACACCGCTGCTGAGAGGTGCGACGATCACTCGCACGGCTGGCGGACGCCATTTTAAGAGTCACCTCGTGGCAATGCGCCATTTTGTTCTTCTGAAATCTCTGTGCTGTGAGTGGGAATTAACTCAAAGTTACAGGATCCCGCCTGGTTCTTTCGCAGTTATTAACCTCAGCTAGCTAGATTGCACTCGAGGTTATTCCTTTCTCATTAAGGCTTGTTGGCTTAACCCCCACAGCTTATCCCTCAATGGTGCAGCAGCAAGCACCCAGGCCTTGTGTCCGCCTGTGCAGGGAGGCTGCTGAAGGCCCCATTTTCCTTTCTAACTGGGCCTTAGGCATTTCGAAATTTGGCTGATTGGCTTGTTTGTTTGTTTTCTCATTGGTATTAGACCATACAGACTATTCTATCCTAGGAGCAGGGATACAGTTGTACCAGCAATACCATAATTCATATCATCATCATCATCATCATAATATCTTGGCAGTATAATATTTTAATTCACTAAAATATTATCACTGAGGTACGACTCACTTGTTTATATATATATATATATATATATATATATATATATATATATAATTTTAAAAAAGGGGGGGGGGCGTGAAATACCTCATCAGGGCAATCATTCTTGCCTCAGATCGGACCCTGGGCGTGCCAACCGCCTTATATTGATTTCTAGCCTATTACTGCAATACATAAATCATTGAAATGGCAGATGGTAACACCTCTAAAGGACCTTAATTGAAGGCAAAAGCCAAGACCCATCATTTGCGCAAGCAGACTAAAGAGACCTCCAAAGCTGCCCAGAAGGATGTCTTAAGGCGCCACAAGGCCCTGCAAAAGAAAATTGATAAACGAAGTAAGGAAGCACTCAAGGTGTCTCCGGTTCTTCCATCCTCCAGTCCCTCTACCTCTGTTCAACCCCGCCTCCTCTAGATATTTCCCTCTTATCCAGGCGCAGCTTGCCCTCACAAGAACAACAGGCTCAGGTTCCTGGCACACCAGCTAGAAGGGCTCCAGAAGCCACCATCACCCCAACAGCAGCTGGCCTCCATCAAGAGGAGTCTCTCATTGAGGAGGTTCCAGAAAGAATAAGATCCTGGATGGAACTGGCTATTCGCCAAGGGATCG